TATTTGTCAGAAAGAGACTTAAGAGTGCTAGTGGACAGCCAGCTCAATATGAGCCAACAGTGTGCCCAGGTGACCAAGAAGACCAATGGCATCTTGGCCTGTATCAAGAATAGTGTGGCCAGCAGGACTAGGGAGGTGATCATCCCCCAGTACATGGCATTGGTGAGGCCACACCTCGAGTACTGTGTTCAGTTTTGGGCCTCTCAATTTAAAAAGGACATTGAGGCATTGGAGCATGTCCAGCAAAGGGCAATGAGGCTCATAAAACATTTAGAAAACATGTCACATGAGGAACAGCTGAGGGAATTGGGCTTGTTTAGTTTTGAGAAGAGGCAGCTCAGGGATGACCTCACAGCTCTCTACAACTCCCTGAAAGGGGGTTGTAGAGAGGTGGGGGATGGTCTCTTCTGCCATGCCTGCAGTGAGAGGACTAGAGGGGACAGCCTTAAGCTGAGACAGGGGAGATTCAGATTAGATGTTAAGAAAAGTTTTTTTGCTGTTAGGGTGGTCAGGTACTGGAATAGATTGCCCAGGTTGGTGGTGGAGTCACCATCCCTGGAAGCATTTAAGAGGCACCTGCATCTGACACTGGAGGATATGGTTTAGGGGTTACAGCAGAGTGCCAGGCTAATGGTTGGACTCTATGATCTTAGAGGTCTCCTCTAACCTTGATGATTCTATGATTCTGACTACTAGTTTGATCCAAAATTAGATAGCAACTTTCTACTGAACGTCGCTTATTTGAGAGGGTGTGACAGATGCACCCACTCTGAGTGAACAGTATTAATTACCATGTAATAATTGTTTAATCATTAATAAAACCCTTTTAGTTAACTCCAAAATGACAACTTCTCTTAATAATTCATCTACGACAGAGACTAACAAAAAATGCATTAACTTGAGCAAAAGCAAACAGCAAGAATAAAAAAAGCCTAATGAAAATACTTAGAATGAATTCAGCTACTAATAAACTTAAATCTTAATGTACAATAAACAGCAAGGCCATCCTATATCAGTTCTATTACAAAGAAATTCACAACAAGTTATTGTGTGAAAGACTGGTTGAAACTAACCCTGAAACGCTTCAAGCTTTCTAAATATTATGACATTAAAATTAAGTCAAGATTCCCTGAAATACGTAACATCTTCAAGAGTATGTTACAAGAGTACAATATGTTAACTTGACCTAAAACAGTGTACTTTGTCCCAGTTTTGCTATGCAGATCTCAGAAACCTAGCCAGACACACAGAAGTTGACATTTCATCTTTATCCTAAAAGAGAGATAAAAGGTATAATTTCCTGTAATTCTTGTTACCATAGCAGAGTAATGAAATACTTTTTCCTCTTAAATTGGTAGGTGCAATTAGGCATTTACTGGGCTTGATGGATCCTACTAGGCATAAGAATAGAAAGAAGCCCTACTTGCAATACACAATTATGGAGTTCCCTTCTGTCTTACCATCTTATTGTATGCTTAGAAGGTGATCTTCTCAAATTGTTTTTTAAAGAGGTCAGAATGGACTGGATAAATTTTCACCCCAATGAGGATATAAAGTTGTCATATACTTTTCTCGATAATCTTAGGGTAATAGCCCTATCAAGAACTCAATTCTCAATTACACCAGCATGTTCTATCAACTTGTGAAACCAAGATTGTCTCATCAGAAATTACTACAAGTCTCTTCCAAATCTGGAAAAAAAAATGATATCTCAGGAAAGCAGTATTAATTCCAAGCAACTAGCATATGTTCTTCTATTAGATATAGAACTATAGGTTTTGCATCTTTTCCACATAACACATATCATGGAGAAAAAAAAAGGCAAAAAAAGGCAGGCATCATACCTTTAACCTCCAAGAGTATTAAGTCTAAGACACAATTGAAAAGTATTTGCATAGCAAGCATATACCTAAATCATTAGAATTTATAAATATTCTCAAGAATTTCACATGTGCTTCTACCTATTATTAAAACATACCTTATTTCATCAGTTTCTGGCACTTTGGTGTAAGGAAGAATTGCTCGAACTCTCCTTCTATCCTCCACAGGCTAGAATTTTAGAGAAGAGTTCAAAGATATTAATTTTGCTTTTCATTCTAGTGTAGACAGCCTCTCCCCAACATTATGCTATTCTGGGGCAAAAGACTAGTAACAGTAATTTGCATCCCTTGGCTAGTTTTAAGTTTTCAAAGGGTTAAAAATAGTAAGAGCTGGAAATACACAATTCGCAAAGTTATCTCCAAAAGCCTTCATTTTGATTTGAGCCTTCTAACATTATCAGTCACATTATCTAAAAAAAAAAAAATTATCAACAAAGTAATTCCCATGAAAAAGCACTTTAGAATTTTCTTCCTCTTAATGGAAATTTATTAAAGTTTAACATTCAGAAACATCTTTATTGGGACACACACACACACATTCCTGATACTGTCTTAAGCATAGTCACCTGAAAGAAGCACAGCTTTCAGGAACTTTGGTTATTTCAACGATGTGTATTTTGAAATCTCTGCTACAAAACAGCAATATTATTTTCAAATACTTTATTAAGACCATATAACACCATAGAGGCTAACTACATTACAATGGTGCTCTTCAAGAGCCAAGAAACACACATTTTCTTGTTCATCTCAGTTTACATACAATGCTATTACTACATTTGGAGATAACTGCAATACCTGATTATCTAGCTTTCTCATTACGGACCTTCATTAAAAAACTTTTTTTTTTATCATTACTTTCTATCAGGAAGACCATGTTTATATATTCCATATACTTTACCATAGGACGAGACAAGTCTAGAACTAGGGGAAGCTATCTACAATGCATTTTTCATAGAAAACTATGAATACTGAATGCAAGATTAATTATATTAATATTTAAGACATTTTAAAATTTTACTACTTGCCTCTGGAGGTGCTACTGGAAAGAACAATTTTTCCCCCTTCAACAAACAAGACATATGACTGTAATAACCAATTAGATCCGAGAGTGAAGCAAAGCGACGTCCACCAACATAATAATCTCCACACATGGCAATAATCCTGTTAATAAAGAAAAGAAAGCTCGACAGAAGAAAATCTTTTGGTACAAGCTGTTGGGGTGGTTTTGGTTTGCAATTTTTTATTTTTTAAAAGGAAATTAGGATTGCGTTGAATTTTTAAAGCAGGCTGTCAACGTTCAACAAAATGCAATATTAGAAACTCACTCTCATATATATACACACCCTTAACTAATATCTCATCAGCAATTACTGATAAACATCAAAAATATTTCAAGGCTGTAAAGATGATGTAAATTTACAAAAAAGCAGGCAGATTTGCTAGAACTAAATTAAATTAAATACAAGAATGTAATTAAGAGGGGCCTGGACAAAATGACATACTATATTAGTAAAGGTAACAGCATTGATATTTCTATCATGCAGGACATACAACTTATATGATGGGCTTGTATAAATTCGGCAAAGTAACAACATATAGCAGTAACAAATAAATGCATTTAATTATACAGTGCAGAATACTGAAATACATTCAAAACTTCAAAAATGTTCATCTAGCATACATGCCAAAAAATAATTATTATAATAAAATACTAAACTTAAGTCTGATAATGACAGGGAAAAATGCTTTAAAAAACATTTCAAAAGTTTAACACAAAAGAATAAGTTTATAAAATTGCTCATCTCAGTAACTTGAGTAGTTGGGAAGTGTGTTTATGTTTGTTTTGAAGTTGGTTTGCAGGGTGCTGGTGCTTATTTTTTAACACAGATTTGCGAACACACGTCTCATAACAAAATAAATGTAAAATACCATGTCTGTACGGCTATGCAATACAAGCTCTAAAACCAGTCAGAAATAATTGATGTCACTAGTGGTGTTCCCCAGGGGTCAGTGTTGGGCCCAGTTCTCTTTAATATCTTTATTGATGATTTGAATGAGGGGTTTAAGTGCACCATCAGAAAATTTGCAGATGACACAAAGCAGAGGGGAGTGTCAATCTGCTGGAAGGC